TAACTTAAAAATAAAATCTTAAAAAAAAAAAAAAAGATAGGTATAATAAAGGCACCCATTTCTTGCATCTAGAAATGTGCTTTATCATGGAGTACTGACCTGTGAGTGGTGGGTCCACAGGTTCATTTTCTAGGTAACTGAAGCTTCTTCTTCCTCTTAAAAGAACCATTTTCCATGAAAAATCTAAAGCCCCGGAGAAAACCCTAAGAGAACAGTGTCTCTTCCTGCTCATCATTTTATCCACAGTCCCTGGTCCACAGTAGGTGCTTAATGTTTGCTGAGGGCTGCCAGAAGAGTCCTTCTTGTCACTATACTGTGCTATAATACCCTGAGTGGTTCAAGTACTATGGAGGTGTTTGGGCTTCTTTGTTCCTGCACTAAATGGCCTCAAACCCCTCTGCTTTTTCATTGCCCCCTCCTGCCCCACCAGTTCTCTTCTTGCTGCTGTGTTTGCACGGAGCAGCCAACACCTAACTGCCTGGTAATTCGTGGCTTCTGATGTGCTCTGAGCTGGGAAGAGACACAACCGAACTTGTTAGTGTCACGCCTGAGAGAAGAACACACAGGCTCCAGGTATCTGTCCGAGGGGTCTCCAACGAGTAGAGGAAACCAGGTCCAGGGCACAGGCTTTGAGACATCGATTTTGATTGCTTTTTTGCTTCATCTGTGGGATGTCGTTTAGTTCCAGATAATTGAAGATGTCAGATAAATGGTCTACATAAAGTCAGGGATGTTTGTGGTAAAGAACAAATTAAGAAACCTCCCATAAATCTCCTAAGAGACCCGAAAGAACTGTTTGTGTTACATCTTAAGCCATATACTGGCAGTCTTTCTCTAAGGCATGTATTCTCTCCCAAGAGGTGAAATAATCCCTAGCAGGGCAAAAAATTGGTTCTTTGGGGGGAGGGGGCAAAACATCTTTTTGTGTATAAAGCATAGGCCTACATATGGTACATGAACAGATACACAATTTATCTGTGGTATTAAAATATCATGGTGGGAAGTACTTAGGGAAAATCTATCTAGAAAGATTCCTTGGGGTACAATGATGGGAGAAGGTTGGGAAATACTGCTCTCAGGAGTCAAAAGTAGAGACAGATCTACTTTAAGAAAACAAGAGGCTCCAGTGGACATGAACATGGGCCCAAACGTAGGAGACTTGAGTTACTCTGTCAAGTCTTGTCTGTGGTAAAACATATAGGGCAACACTTTTTCTTTTATTGGATTATCTGGGAGTGGGTTTGAGGCTTACAACATGTGACAAGAATCTGTTTCAAGTCTTCATACAAAGAATGAAGAATGCTTTTAAAGGTAAGATTAAACTCCTTTTTGACAAACTGGAAAATTCTCATCTCGATGTCAGAATATAGAAGGTTTTACTTCAGAACATCTTTTTGGTATTATTTATCATAGAAGATACTACGTCAACTCTTCCAAGGCACAGGACAGAAGTGGAAGACAGGAGTTTAAATGTGTAGGTTGGGAGTACACCATCACACATAGTTGAGAAAGCCTCTGCCTTTCAGAGTCAGTAGAACCATGAGTGTCTCAATGGAAAAAACAGAACCAACTTCACACTTTCAGGCCACAGGTAGGAAGAACATGAAAAAAATGAATGAAATGACTTCTAAATTGGTTTGATTTCTAAGAGAAAAAGGGTAACCCTTTCAGGCTGTTTGAGTGCCTATTTTTACCACCTCATTTCTTAAAAGTATTTCTTCAAACTATGGCTTCCTTTAGGTTTATATTTAAATTTAAATCTCTTAAGGACACATTTCAAATTTATTTTATTTTTTCTTAAGGATTAGAGTGCTAGAACGGAAAGACTTCAAAGACCCTAAGGGTATAAAAGTTCAGGTTGGAGAAAGGCACATATTTTTCCAGGCTGAGGAAATAAAAACCAGATGTTCCCCAGGGATGCTTCCAAAGTTTAAAAGCACATCTTTGGGGGCAAGACTAAGGTATCTCAACAGCATTCTATGACCTTACATCCTAATTGTGCCATGAATGGACAGGTTAATGAGCAACACTTCCAGGAATCTTCATTTAGGTAGGTTATTTGTATATGTAGAGTGTTAGTGTATCATTCTTGAAGCTACTCTAGAATGCCATGTGATTTTTCACACTATTCCTCTATGAAAAGAGAGGCTTAGAATAAAATTAAAAGCTTAATCATATGAGCCAATGAAGGGATTCGGCCAGGTGCGGAGTATGTCTATTCCACTTTGGCATTCTAGACCTGGGGAAGTCATCGTGGCTGGTTTGAGGACCCACTGGAAGAGAGAGCTAAAACCCCACTGATCACCTGACCTCCGTGAGCCCCTACTCTGACTGGTGGACCACAGGGATGTTTTGGGTTTCCTGGAATTAGTATCCGTTCAGAGCCAGTGTCCTATAATCCCTGAAAAGTCTGATTGTGTCCTTTCACCTCAGCACAGCCACCACAGTCAAAGATCGTAGACCTCTTTAGGGGAAGCCTGGAAGAAAGATGAACTGTGTAAAGTTTTGATAGTGTAGCAGTCCGTTCTCAAGAGGACTGGGTCTCCCCTTCATTCAAGGGGTTCTTGGTCTGTAAATGATTAAATATGGGAATTGATTTAGGAGACAAGACTCTCTGCTCTTGTTATTCAAGTTACACTTCTGTTCATTTGACCTAGAACTCTTCTTCCACTTGTATAAATCAAGTATGAATTTAGGAGACGGTCTGTTTCATTTCTAGGAACACCATGGTCAATCAGCCAATTCCATTGGTCTCTGTGAGTCAGATTATTCTGAGGACAGCTTTGACTCTGCTGTCCACTACAGCAACCACACCCACTTGCCTTTGGTGATTAAGAGCTGCCACCTGGCCTCTAGGGCCTGCCGCAGATTTTGGACTTGCCAGGCTCTCCACAATGGCATGAGCCAATTCCTTAAAATAAATCTCCCTCTTTCTCTATATATGTGTGTATATAAATACTACATACTTTCCAGAGAAACAACTATTTATCTACACACACACACAGATACACACAGATATAGGACTATATATATAGCTGTGTTTTTTTTTTTCCCCCCCCAGAGAAAAATATGTATGTAGTTCTGTTTCTCTGGAAAATCCTGACTAATACAATGGAAGACATGGAAGGGAGGAAAGGCATTTACTAAGCAGATTGGGCTAGTTTCCTAAGGACCAAGATAAAAAAAGGGCTTGCTCACACTACAAATTTCAGAGTTTAGGAACCATTTTTTGCTTTCTGGATTTTGTTCAGCAACACCCTCACATTTCATTAGTTAGCCCCTAATCACTGAAAAGAGTGCCACCACCAGTGAAGCTTATTTTTGTATAGACACTCAACAACTGAAATTGCTAAGGATCCAAATCTTTTCAGATACTAAAACTACAGAAGTTAAAAAATTATTTAAATAAAAAATAATTCAGTGGCTTAACCAGCAAGGCACATGGGGCCAGCAAAAGGAGATGAGGGCTTACATTGTTTTGCTTTGTCCTTGTCCATGTTGGCCTCATTGACCGCATGCTGTATCTCATCCAGCCAAAGAACTTTGGAAACACTCTCCGAGTCCTGGGAATATTGTCACAGAATAAAAGAAAGAATAGTGAATGATGATGAAACAGAATCAGTAACTGCTTTTCAGGAGCCTATTTTTTATAATTTCTACAAACTCATTCAGCACCTACCAAGCACTGTCATAACACTGTACAAACTATTAATGAAATAACCCCCAAATCCAACGTCTTCTCCCTTCTCTACTGTCACCCCTTTAGTCCAGCCTACCATCATATCCCACCTGGACGGGTGCATTGGTCTATTTGTTTTTGTTGCTTCCAAGACTGCCCTCTACCACAGTGGTCCTCTACAGGGGAGCAGATGATCTCTTCAAAATGGACATCTCACTAGACAATCCCTCTGCTTAAACTCCTTCACAGGTTCTCCCCTGCATGTAGGAGAAAACAAAACTCCCTTCCCAGGGACTGTGGGGATCTAGCGATCCAGCCCTGCTGACCCCTCTGGCTTCACTCACACTCTTCTATTGCCTGTCCCAGGCGTGCACACCAGCCTCCTTCAGATCCCAGCATTCTACCCCGGCTGTGTGGTTGTTGATTCTTTCTGACCCTTCAGGCCTTAATTCAAATGTCACCTCCTCCTCAAAAGCCTTCTCTGAATACTCTCTCCCTTAATCACTAACTGTGGTACCCAAGGTGGCCCAGAGTACCACAGGATATTTTAAATTTGAGGGAAATACAATGACATTTATCAGACAGAGAGACAAAAATAAGGCAAAGAACCCTCAAGGAGCTAACAGTTTAGTAGAAAAGATACATTTATGTAAAAATAATTATAATACAATGTGATCATGGTAATAATAGCTGTAGATACATGATCTACAGTCAAGAAAGGATTAACTTATATAGGGGTGAATTACAGGGGGGAGAAAACAGTAGCTAAGGACAGCTTCAGAACAGAAGTGATAAAAGCAATCAAAAGGTATTAAGTTATCTTTACGATTCATTTTACTTTTGGGTTGGTTGTGATGATCATACTACAAACATGGTGCTGGCATATAATGTAACTAAATGGGACTTCCAGACAGTAACTGCCAAGATTACATAAACTTGCCCAAGATTACAAGTAAATACTATCAGGAAAAATTAAATATTTTCAAGGAAGAAGAGACATTTATTTTTAAACAATTGGAGACATTTGCCCATGTGTAGTATTAAGTGTCATGTGCTAAATGCAAAAGCAAGGCTGTGATGAACAGAAAGTAGCTCATCAGAGCTATGGAGAACCAGCTCCATCATTTCAGACTCATGATAGATGGATGGGTTTCAGGAAGGAGAAATAACATGCAGCAGCTCCTCCGGCAGGCTTCAATACTATTTCCCTCAGAGACTAACCTGAGATAATGTTTGCGGAAAGCACTCTGAAATGAGACAAATACAGCCTAAAAACTACATTCCATACAAGTTCATTTATATATGTTTCAGTTTTTTTGAAGAGTATTTACCAAATTCCTCCATAACTTATCGCTATAGAAGATACACCATACAAACTTTTGCCCAGATGAGAAGTTAACAATCCCACTTCAAAGCTTAAAGTATCCGTTTTATAGGGCAAACCAAAGAGAAACTGACAAAGCAAATGAATTTAAGTCAACAGCTTAAATCATGACTCATTACACTAAAGGATGCTTAGAGTTAAATACAAAACCAGGAGTAAAAACTGAATCCTACCAGTTTAAGGTCTCCTTTTAAATTGCTCACTAGAAGTCTGGAACTATATTTATAGGATGGTCAGGGTTCCACCTCTAGCTAAAGAGCCAGATTGAGCATATGAGTTACAAATGGATTAAGTAAAGAGAAGTTAGACCATCTGTAAATCAAGACATAAATTCCTCAATTTAGATGAGTCCTAGACAATTTTAATTAAACAAAAAAGTACCCCTTTCAATATTTTGTGGCACTTTGGTTTTTATTTCTGCGGATAAAATAACTTTTGGTCTCAGCTTCTGTTACCATATATTATGTAGTTGAAATATCTGACACTGACTTTTGATTGCGAAACTCTTCCTGTGACGCAATTTAATCAAGTGTGAAAAGTTTACACAGATCAATTCCTTCCTGGCTTATCCCTCAGCCTGTCAGTCTTAGGTGAAACCTGCACTTTCTGATTCTTGCTGCATTTTATATGCAACATGCTGTTGGATTGTTTGGCTTAGTGTTTAACCTTAAATTGTGTTAATTACAGAAAAACCTGTTATAATGCAGTTTGTTTGTTTTTTTACTAAACATTAAATCATATCCTCCGGGAAGTAACTACTCACAAAGGCTTATATGTTGTGCAACAATGTGATCATACTAAATACTATTGAGTTGTACACTTAATAATGATTAAGATGGTCAATTGCATGTTACATTTATTTTGCCACAATTAAAAAAAGAAGCTTATTATAGACCTGCTCACCAACAACCATGGAATAAACAGAGTTCTCTGCGTTTCAATGTTGTATCATGATTTCAGTTTAACCAACAAGTATGTTGAGTTACGGCAAAACAAAACACCATAAAACCAAGTCTGGCCAAGGAGTGATGACAAATCAGACCAATGTGACACTGATGGAGAATTTTCAAAGTAATCAAGCTCTGACATTTAACTTCCTAAAAAATGCTTGTTTTCCATAATTCATTTCATTTATAATTATGTAAAGAGTTTAAGAATTACGATTTGAAAGAGCTGGGAGGATAAGGAAAGGATAAATTCTGACAGCTCAATTACTGAGTAGAAATTACACTCTGGAAGTGTGTTTTTTATAAATGGATAAAATTGAGATAGGTGACAGTCTCAAAACTAACTGCTACTCAACATCTACTGTCAGCTTACTTCTGGAAAAGACTGTATGTTACCTACATTCTTTCCATGCACAGAAGTATAATGGTTGGGAATTACAGCATCTACTCTGAACGGATTATTAGGGGTGGGTAAGAGTTAAGTGATTTTCTCTGGGGATAAAGTAATGTGCTCAGAGGCTCAGCCTGAGTCATGCACACTGCAACATGAGCACCGTCACACCCTTTCCGTCCAGAGGACCTGGGCAAGTTTCCCAGTCTGCAGAGCCCAGGACAGCACACTCTTAAGGAGAGAACAAGGCTTCCATTTGCTGTTAACACATGAAACTGAGGTGGAACTGTGCTCCCTAGTTCTATATATTTAATAACATCTGGGAAACAGAACTCAGGTCACCAAGATGAAAGCCCTCATCTTTGCTGCTGGAGTAATACTTCTGTCGCCCACTTTTTGTCAAAGCGGTAAGCTCTTTTCTTATGGGGCATGTTGGGGGTGCTGGTTTGCGTAGCAAGAATGAACTGCATCCAATTTTCTTTGCATTTCACACAGTCTGCAACCCAAAAGGCAGAGCTTAGTGTTTGTTATTAAAAGGTAGCATCACAGAAGTGAATAGCTATGGTCTGTTCACTCTATTCAACCCTTGCCAAAAGCTAATGTTCTCTGCTGAGATTTAAAAATTTGTGGCATGGTCAAGATTTTAGATCTCTAAAATGAAGAATCAAATTTCTTTGTGAGAAGATTCTGACTTTCTAAGAATTTCCTCTGAATCAACAAAAATAGCACATTTTCAAGAAATTTAAAAAAATCCCAAGTTTATACATTCTCTTGAAGCACAAATGGTGGGAAACAAGGATATTCTCAGAAAGAAAGAGTGGTCTTTCAATAAGTAATGCTAACAAGTTAGTGTTTCTTAATGAAATACCTTTTTTGACTTTTTCTTGTATCACGGAGTTTTCCCTACGTTCACATGATTTTTTATAGTTTGAGAAATGAGATCTCCCAGATACTATTATTCAACTCTTTATGTGTTTCCTATTTCACTCAACACAATGTTAGCCTGTCACCTCCTGCTTACTCCAAAATAAACCAGTTTGCAATAGATCTGGATCCACAACTTTTTTTTTTTTTACTGTTAGGTCATTCTCCTGTCAACACTGTTAGGAGCAGGAGAGCGGGAGAGCGGGAGAGCTGGGGTGAGGGGCAGCGATGAAGTAGAATAAACAGAAATGCAGCAAAACCAAGTCTCCATAAAGGAACGTTGCTTCAGTTGCCAAGGTGGTTGTAGGACAGTCCCAAGAGAACCCACTCAGAGCAATAGCACATGTGTGATTCATGAAAAGGACAAGTGACTGTTCTTTCTGGTTGTGGATGAACGCGAATACAGCAGAAAAGCAAAAGAAAAGCAGTTTGTGAAGGGGGTTCCTTCAAGATGCTGGTGGGGTTTCGTAGAGGCGAACAGGGGGCATTTAAAGGTGACAAAGGAAAAGGCAGTGCATCTGCTTTCTTCCATGGGGTGGGGGGAGAAACGTGAGCAAAGAACCGATTGTTTAGAGGCTGAAATCTGGTCCCCTTGGATCAGTTCTTTTCTCAGAACTTTCCCCAAGTTAAAAACATTTCAGAAACATTCTGCCAAATGGAAGACTGTATTAAGAATTCATCGAGGGGCGCCTGGGTGGCTCAGTCAGTTAAGCGTCTGCCTTCGGCTCAGGTCATGATCCTGGAATCCCGGGATCGAATCCCACATTGGGAATCCCTGCTCTGCAGGGAGTCTGCTTCTCCCTCTGACCCTCTCCACTCTCATGTGCTCTCTCTCATTCTCTCTCTCCCAAATAAATAAAACGTTAAAAAAAAAAAGAATTCATCAAAATTTTTAAAAAATATGTAAAATTTAACAATGAGTACTATTCTGAAGGCGCACCAGACTCCAAGGAATAAGACTTATTTAAGTTGAACCAGATCTGGAATTCTCATGGAAAAAGGAATCAAGACTTTTTCACAAAGTCACTGTTTACTCTGTTTTTAGGCACCATGTCTTGCTTAACCACAGGAATTTTCTGCAAACTGACAAACACTTCGTTTCAAACAGCTCTTATCAGATCTTGAAAGGAAACAGCTTGTACACCATGTTCTTCAGCCACTGTCTTCCAGCTTTGTGCCTACTTCCCAAGGCACTTCTCTATGGGTGATATCAAATTTAAGCATTTTCCAAAATGCAA